TAACATAATTACATAGCCACATAGCAACATAATCACATAGTAACATAGTCACATAGTAACATAATTACATAGCCACATAGCAACATAATCACATAGTAACATAGTCACATAGTAACATAATTACATAGCCACATAGCAACATAATCACATAGTAACATAGTCACATAGTAACATAATTACATAGCCACATAGCAACATAATCACATAGTAACATAGTCACATAGTAACATAATTACATAGCCACATAGCAACATAATCACATAGTAACATAGTCACATAGTAACATAGTCACATAGTAACAGCCACATAGTAACATAGTCACATAGTAACATAGTGACATAGTGACATAATCACATAGTAACATAATCACATAGTCACATAGCCACATAGTAACATAATCACATAGTAACATAGTCACATAGTAACATAATCACATAGTCACATAGTCACATAGTAACATAGTCACATAGTAACATAATCACATAGTAACATAGTCACATAGTAACATAATCACATAGTCACATAGTCACATAGTAACATAATAACATAGCCACATAGTAACATAATCACATAGTAACATAGTCACATAGTAACATAGTCACATAGCAACATAATCACATAGTCACATAGTAACATAATCACATAGTCACATAGTCACATAGTAACATAATAACATAGCCACATAGTAACATAATCACATAGTAACATAGTCACATAGTAAATTAGTCACATAGCAACATAATCACATAGTAACATAGTCACATAGTAACATAGTCACATAGCAACATAATCACATAGTAACATAGTCACATAGTAACATAGTCACATAGCAACATAATCACATAGTAACATAGTCACATAGTAACATAATCACATAGCCACATAGTCACATAGTAACATAGTCACATAGTAACATAATAACATAGTCACATAGTAACATAGTCACATAGCAACATAATCACATAGTAACATAGTCACATAGTAACATAGTCACATAGCAACATAATCACATAGTAACATAGTCACATAGTAACATAGTCACATAGCCACATAGTCACATAGTAACATAGTCACATAGTAACATAATAACATAGCCACATAGTAACATAATCACATAGTAACATAGTCACATAGTAACATAGTCACATAGTAACATAATCACATAGCCACATAGTCACATAGTAACATAGTCACATAGTAACATAATAACATAGTCACATAGCAACATAATCACATAGTAACATAGTCACATAGTAACATAATCACATAGTAACATAATAACATAGCCACATAGTAACATAATCACATAGTAACATAGTCACATAGCGACACAATCACATAGTAACATAGTCACATAGCAACATAATTACATAATCACATAGCAACCTACTCACATAGCCACATAGTAACATAATCACATAGTAACATAATCACATAGCCACATAGTAACATGTCACATGGTAACATAATCACATAGTAACATAGCCACATAGTCACATAATCATATAGTAATATAGTCACATAGCAACATAGCCACATAGTAACATAGTAACATGTCACATAGTAACAAACTCACATAGTAACATGTCACATATTAACATAATAACATAGTAACATAGTTGCATAGTAACATACTCACATAGTAACATGTCACATAATAACATAGCAACATACTCACAAAGTAACATGTCACATAGTAACATAATCACATAGTCACATAGTAACATAATCACTGTGACGAGAGCAATCTCGCCACATTGCATTGCATTGCTCGCCTGCTGCCTTTGGACTATGGCCCCATGTTAAAAGACATCTTTTTTACCTGCAGAAAAGATTTATTCATGCTTTTTTGCCTGGTGTTCGGTAGATTCAATCTACCGAACAACCGCACGAATGACTGGACCACCTGGGAGCTGGAGTGTGCCGGCAATTAGCCTCCTTGAAGCTGCGGTTAACCGCAGCTTAATTGACGAATGCTGGGTGGCCGCCATTCGTATAACCAACACAAGGTCGCGGGCATTTTAAACATGCGAACGCACAGCGGTGTTCGACGCTTAATTCATGGAACTAAAATCGGACACAGTTTTGCGCGAACACCGCTGAAGCCGCCGACCTCCCTTCCTGTTCAGTGAAAGTGCACGTGTTCGGTAGTTTTACTTGAATATGTTATACCCCAGATAGGAATCCCATGGAGCCCATTCGCATGAGAACTGACTGTGTAAAGACTTTGGCAGCATGGCGATTAAACTGTATTCGTGTGGTCTGAGCGCCATTCGCTTAATAATGTGCGCTCAGACCTGAGCTATCTGGGGATAGACAGTAAGCCCCACAACTGTACAGATGGGACCGTGGTCTCTGTACGTCCAGCACAGGGGGTAGGGACGGTCGGTTCTACCCCCCAGCAACAGGGCTGTTTAGCCAAAGGGGAGACAGTCGGTCTCCAGCAGCAGAGCTGTGTGTCTAAAGGGGAGACAGTCGGTCTCCAGCAGCAGGGCTGTGTGTCTAAAGGGGAGACAGTCGGTCTCCAGCAGCAGAGCTGTGTGTCCAAAGGGGAGACAGTCGGCCTCCAGCAGCAGAGCTGTGTGTCTAAAGGGGAGACAGTCGGTCTCCAGCAGCAGAGCTGTGTAACCAAAGGGGAGACAGTCGGTCTCCCCCTCCAACAACCAGGCTTCAACCAGGCTACCCCCTCAGTAGTGCTGGCACCAGGGCAGAGTACCGCTGGTCTCTGCCCACGCAGCAACCCACCAAGTCAGCATACCGTACCCAGCACAGCCATGGTGAGGCACCTGGACATGGACAAGCTTCTCCTCTACCCAGGTGTAGTAACCATTTATTGTGGGTGGGCTGTGCTGTTGATTGTGTTTTGTGGGTGGGCTGCTGGACTAACAAGGGCACTGACCGGCAGGAGGTCAGATACCCTGTTAGTCTGTTTGGAAAAGGGGAGAGATGTGACGAGACCAATCTCGCCACATTGCATTGGAGAAGCCTGGTTGCTCGCCTGCTGCCTTTGGACTATGGCCCCCATGTTAAAAGACTTTGTTTCGCCTGCAGAAAAGCTTTATTCGTGCTTTTCTGCCTGGTGTTCGGTAGATTCAATCTACCGAACAACCGCACGAATGACTGGACCACCTGGGAGCTGGAGTGTGCCGGCAATTAGCCTCCTTGAAGCTGCGGTTAACCGCAGCTTAATTGACGAATGCTGGGTGGCCGTCATTCGTATAACCAACACAAGGTCGCTGGGAATTTTAAACATGGGAACGCACAACGGTGTTCGATGCTTAATTCATGGAACTAAAATCGGACACAGTTTTGCGCGAACACCGCTGAAGCCGCCGACCTCCCTTCCTGTTCAGTGAAAGTGCACGAACGGCCCGGTGTTCGGTAGTTTTACTTGAATATGTTATACCCAAGATAGGAATCCCATGGAGCCCATTCGCATGAGAACTGACTGTGTAAAGATTTTGGCTCCATGGCGATTAAACTGTATTCATGTGGTCTGTAAAAATTTATGCTTTTAATGTTATGTGTCTCACATAGTGCATTTTAATAGTAATTCCTGTGTTAGTATCCCCACGTGCATAATGGCGATTTGCCTTTTGTCTTGGGAGATAATTGAATTACTTCTCAATTATCTCCAAGGCAGAGGGGAGGAAGCCAGGATGCATTGTGGGAATATAATGTGACTGTGTGTCCTATTTGTCTACTTGTCTGTCTTTTGTCACAGTCTCCCATTTGGTCCCCTAGGGGAGTATCCACCAGGTGGGAGACCTGCATAAATACTGGGCAGGTAGCCCTCATTAAACAGACCACTGCTTGACCCTCAACACTGAGCCTTGTCTCGTCTTTGGGGGGATTTACTGAATGCTGATAGAGACTGATTGCTAGGAGTGTAAGCTGCTTGGGTGCTTTTCCTATTTGTCTGCTAGCAGCTATTCGTATGGTTCCAGTTCGTGTGTTTGGAGTGCTATATTGGATGCAGTTCGGGAGTTTGGAGCATTCCCTTATTGGCAGTTCGTGAGTTTGGTGTTTTACAATAGCTGTGCCTGCATCTCTGAGAAGGGGACGATCGCCTAAACGGTTTTTACCCCTTGTGTGCAAAACGGTCCGTTACAATCACATAGTAACATAGTCATATAGTAAGATAATCACATAGTAACATAGCCACATATTAACATAATCACATAATAACATAATCACATAGTAACACAGTCACATAGTAACATAATCACATAGTAACAGTCACATAGTAAGTCACATAGCCACATAGTTGCATAGCTGAAAAGAGACATGTGTACATCTCTGTATACTGTGTGATTATGGGGTAAGGCGGGTTATTACCCAGAATCCCTGGCTGCAGGGGGCGCTCTGTATACTGTGTGATTATGGGGTAAGGTGGGTTATTACCCAGAATCCCTGGCTGCAGGGGGCGCTCCTTATACTGTGTGATTATGGGGTAAGGCGGATTATCACCCAGAATCCCTGGCTGCAGGGGGAGCTCTGTATACTGTGTGATTATGGGGTAAGGCGGGTTATCACCCAGAATCCCTGGCTGCAGGGGGCGCTCTGTATACTGTGTGATTATGGGGTAAGGCGGGTTATTACCCAGAATCCCTGGCTGCAGGGGGCGCTCTGTATACTGTGTGATTATGGGGTAAGGCGGGTTATTACCCAGAATCCCTGGCTGCAGGGGGCGCTCTGTATACTGTGTGATTATGGGGTAAGGCGGGTTATTACCCAGAATCCCTGGCTGCAGGGGGCGCTCTGTATACCGTGTGATTATGGGGTAAGGCGGGTTATTACCCAGAATCCCTGGCTGCAGGGGGAGCTCTGTATACCGTGTGATTATGGGGTAAGGCGGGTTATTACCCAGAATCCCTGGCTGCAGGGGGAGCTCTGTATACCGTGTGATTATGGGGTAAGGTGGGTTATTACCCAGAATCTCTGGCTGCAGGGGGAGCTCTGTATACTGTGTGATTATGGGGTAAGGCGGGTTATTACCCAGAATCCCTGGCTGCAGGGGGCGCTCTGTATACTGTGTGATTATGGGGTAAGGCGGGTTATTACCCAGAATCCCTGGCTGCAGGGGGAGCTCTGTATACTGTGTGATTATGGGGTAAGGCGGGTTATTACCCAGAATCCCTGGCTGCAGGGGGCGCTCTGTATACTGTGTGATTATGGGGTAAGGCAGGTTATTACCCAGAATCCCTGGCTGCAGGGAGCGCTCTGTATACTGTGTGATTATGGGGTAAGGTGGGTTATTACCCAGAATCCCTGGCTGCAGGTGGAGCTCTGTATACTGTGGGATTATGGGGTAAGGCGGGTTATTACCCAGAATCCCTGGCTTCAGGGGAAGCTCTGTATATTCTGTAATTAGGAATCAAAGTGGGCCATAAACCATCATTTACTTATACTATGTCAGTAAGTGGAGAATCTCACTGTGTGGTCTTGGTCTTAGCTCACTGATTGACGGTTTAATTTCCTCCATGCACAGCAGGTATTGTGTTAGTAGGCGGAGAACAGGAAGACACGCTACACGGGAGCATTTTATTCAATGATCGCGTCTGTTATGTGTCCCTTGCCAGCCTGCTAGTGCTCTGTGTAAATGGGCGCAGGGGAAGATGGAGCCAGCCTGGGGGAGATGGTATTGGCACAGGGTGAGCCACTGATTGCAGCCTGTAACTCAGTACAGAACATCCGTGTGTGTTCAGATGGCAGGGCTGGATGTGACTGGCACCAGCTCCGTGTCTCTGCTTACTGACGTTAATCCTTTACCCTTGTACCAAGATGGTTGAGAATTCTATAATTGATGCATGCTGGGGTTTATAAACTGCAACGTCTCTACGTAATGAATGGTGGTAAAATGATAGAGGGGCAGGTTATTTATTAGGTATGGTATGGGATGCTGCAGGTCCCAGGGGAGAGTTATACATTAGGTATGGTATGGGGTGCTGCAGGTCCCAGGGGAGAGTTATATATTAGGTATGGAATGGGGTGCTGCAGGTCCCAGGGGAGAGTTATACATTAGGTATGCTATGGGGTGCTGCAGGTCACAGGGGAGAGTTATATATTAGGTATGCTATGGGGTGCTGCAGGTCCCAGGGGAGAGTTATACATTAGGTATGGTATGGGGTGCTGCAGGTCCCAGGGGAGAGTTATACATTAGGTATGGTATGGGGTGCTGCAGGTCCCAGGGGAGAGTTATATATTAGGTATGGTATGGGGTGCTGCAGGTCCCAGGGGAGAGTTACATTTAGGTATGGTATGGGGGCTGCAGGTCACAGGGGAGAGTTATACATTAGGTATGGTATGGGGTGCTGCAGGTCCCAGGGGAGAGTTATACATTAGGTATGGTATGGGGTGCTGCAGGTCCCAGGGGAGAGTTATATATTAGGTATGGTATGGGGTGCTGCAGGTCCCAGGGGAGAGTTATACATTAGGTATGGTATGGTGTGCTGCAGGTCCCAGGGGAGAGTTATACATTAGGTATGGTATGGGGTGCTGCAGGTCCCAGGGGAGAGTTATATTTTAGGTATGGTATGGGGTGTCACAGGGGAGAGTTATACATTAGGTATGGTATGGGGTGCTGCAAGATCCCAGGGGAGAGTTATATATTAGGTATGGTATTGGAGCTGCAGGTCACAGGGGAGAGTTATATATTAGGTATGGTATGGGGGCTGCAGGTCACAGGGGAGAGTTATACATTAGGTATGGTATGGGGTGCTGCAGGTCCCAGGGGAGAGTTATATATTAGGTATGGTATGGGGTGCTGCAGGTCCCAGGGGAGAGTTATATATTAGGTATGGTATGGGGTGCTGCAGGTCCCAGGGGAGAGTTATATTTTAGGTATGTATGGGGTGCTGCAAGTCACAGGGGAGAGTTATACATTAGGTATGGTATGGGGTGCTGCAAGACCCAGGGGAGAGTTATATATTAGGTATGGTATTGGAGCTGCAGGTCACAGGGGAGAGTTATATATTAGGTATGGTATGGGGGCTGCAGGTCACAGGGGAGAGTTATACATTAGGTATGGTATGGGGTGCTGCAGGTCCCAGGGGAGAGTTATATATTAGGTATGGTATGGGGTGCTGCAGGTCACAGGGGAGGGTTATATTTTAGGTATGGTATGGGGTGCTGCAGGTCACAGGGGAGGGTTATATTTTAGGTATGGTATGGGGTGCTGCAGGTCACAGGGGAGGGTTATATTTTAGGTATGGTATGGGGTGCTGCAGGTCACAGGGGAGGGTTATATTTTAGGTATGGTATTGGGTTCTGCAGGTCACAGGGGAGAGTTATAAATTAGGTATGGTATGGGGTGCTGCAGGTCACAGAGGAGGGTTATATTTTAGGTATGGTATGGGGTGCTGCAGGTCACAGGGGAGGGTTATATTTTAGGTATGGTATGGGGTGCTGCAGGTCACAGGGGAGGGTTATATTTTAGGTATGGTATGGGGTGCTGCAGGTCACAGGGGAGGGTTATATTTTAGGTATGGTATTGGGTTCTGCAGGTCACAGGGGAGAGTTATAAATTAGGTATGGTATGGGGTGCTGCAGGTCACAGAGGAGGGTTATATTTTACGTATGGTATGGGGGACTGCAGGTAACAGGGGAGAGTTATACATTAGGTATGCTATGGGGGGCTGCAGGTCCTGAGAGGGCTACACATAAAGTGTCATATGGCGTGCTGCAGGTCATAGGGAGGGTTATACATTAGGTATGTTATGAAGGACTGCAGGTCACAGGGGAGGGTTATATTTTAGGTATGGTATGGGGGACTGCAGGTAACAGGGGAGAGTTATACATTAGGTATGCTATGGGGGGCTGCAGGTCCTGAGAGGGCTATACATAAAGTGTCATATGGGGGGCTGCAGGTCACAGGGGAGGGTTATACACTAGGTATGTTATGGGGGGCTGCAGGTCACGAGGGAGGGTTATACACTAGGTATTTTATGGGGGGCTGCAGGTCACAGGGATAGGTTTTACATTAGGTGTGGTATGGGGGGCTGCAGGTCACATGGGCCTTGAAAGTAGTTTGCAAAGTGAAGGCCACATGTCTGTTCTCACTGTCATTCATTATGCAGACTTGCTCATTGCTGCAAGAACATCATCGGTGCCCATTGCGTGTGCCATTAGCTTGGTGTGCCCATCTAGTGTGCCATTAGTCTGGTGTGCCCATCTAGTGTGCCTTTAACCAGTGTGCCCATCTAATGTGCCATTAGTCTGGTGTGCCCATCTAGTGTGCCATTAGGTAGTGTGCTCATCTATCATGCCATTAGCGCAGTGTGTCCAGCAAGTAGACTCTTGTAGCCGCATGGCACAGACCAGCAGCAGTAATATTTACCACAGTGAGCAAAACTGACCATCACCTCCAAGATATCAATCAGAAAAATTGCAGACTTTGTCCAAAAATAATATGAAGCTTTAGAACATAAATTCTAAATTGCATGTAAAGACAGAGTAACAACGGCTCAGAGAAACTGTAGAAAATGCTAATTCTTTGCTTTTTACAGCAGACAGGGTGGTATGTTTGGCGATATAATTGGTCTGGGTGATATTTTTGGTATGGGCGATATAGGTGGTATGGGGCGGTATGGATGGTATGGGCGATATAGGTGGTATGGGGTGGTATGGATGATATGGGCGGTATAGATGGTGTGGGCTGTGTGGATAGTATGGGGCGGTATTGATGGTATGGGGCGGTATGGATGGTATGGGGCTGTATGGATGGTATGGGGCTGTGTGGATAGTATGGGGCGGTATTGATGGTATGGGGGGTATGGATGGTATGGGGCTGTATTGATGGTATGGGGTATGGATGGTATGGGCGGTATGGATGGTATGGGGCGTATGGATGGTATGGGGCGTATGGTATGGGCGGTATGGATGGTATGGGGCGTATGGATGGTATGGGGCGGTATGGATGGTATGGGCGGTATGGATGGTATGGGCGATATAGGTGGTATGGGGCGGTATGGATGATATGGGCGGTATAGATGTTGTGGGCTGTGTGGATAGTATGGGGCCGTATTAATGGTATGGGCGGTATGGATGGTATGGGGCTGTATGGCTGGTATGGGCGGTATGGATGGTATGGGGCTGTATGGCTGGTATGGGCGGTATGGATGGTATGGGCGGTATGGATGGTATGGACGGTATGGATGGAATGGGGCTGTATGGATAGTATGGGCGGTATGGATGGTATGGGGCGGTATGGATGGTATGGTGCTGTATGGATGGTATGGGGATGTGACTGTGCAAGGTTTGTTGTCCCTGCTATTCATTTATCTGTTTCATTTTTTTTTTACCTTTCTGATAACGTGTCTTCATCTCGAGCATTTAGTATTGTTAATACAGTCAGTTAGAAATAAATTGATAATAAGTTACGTGCGTAAGGCATTGGAACATCATGGGAGCTTGCAATGGCAGTCAGACCAGTGGCGGATCCAGGGGGGGGGCAACGGGGCAATTGCCCCCCCCGAGAATTCCGCCGGTCTCCCTCCCCTGCCAGCCCTGCAATGTGCCTGTGGACCGGAAGGGAGATCACAGATCTCCCTCCCCGGTCCGCAGGCACTGTGCTGGCGGCCGGCGGCGGAGGGAGGGAGTGAGAGGGAGGACCCGGAGCTTAGGCTGCAGCTCCTCCGGGTCCTCCTCTCGTGAGATTTGAAGCGTTGCCGCGGTTACCACGGCAACGCTCCAAATCTCGCGAGAGTGAACTCTAGCCCGGGAGCGCGGGCTAGAGTTCACTGTAACCACTGGGACCACCAGGGAATCACCACTGGGACCACCAGGGAATCACCACTGGGACCACCAGGGAATCACCACTGGGACCACCAGGGATCGAAATATGTCCCCCCTCCTCCCCAGTAAAGGTAAGAAGGGAGGGGGGACATAGGATAATATTTATTTTAATTAAATAAAAAAAAATATATATATATAATAAAAAAAATCCAAACACACACATATATATTGCCCCCAATACTGCCCCCCCAATACACATAAACTGCCCCCCCAGTCACACAAACTGCCCTCCCCATTCACACAAACTGCCCCCCCCATACACAAACTGCCCCCCCATACACACAAACTGCCCCCTATACACACATACTGCCCCCATACACATTACTGCCCCATACACACATACTGCCCCCACATTAGAAAAACACTGCCTCCATTCACACACAAACTGCCCCCATTCACACAAACT